GCTTAAAGAAATACAAGGCAAAAAATATATCAGCTTAAAAAAGAACAAATCTCCATATTTCATATAAAGTGTATTAACAAGATTCTACCTACAAAAGATATTTGCTTTCAAAAGAATCTCAAGCTTTACAAAAGTCAAAGATATATAGTATGTTTCTGAAAAGATAAAACCTTCTACTACTAGCAGAATGCGAAATATACTAAAGAATTTAGAAAAAACTTAAAAAAAAAGCTATACAGCTAACAGGCCTAGAAGCTTCAACAAAGCTAGATCTAATATTAAGCGAGATTTTTTTTGAAGAAGCAATTTACAGTACAGAGTTAGAAGAAAAAATAAATAACAGAAAGATGTACTTAAGAGAACTTATAAGCATTAAGCAGCTCACAGACTTAAGCAAAGTAACCCAGTCAAGAAAGAAGGCAAGCAGAATCTTGATCAGCTTTGTAAAACACTTTTGGAAATGTTTTTTCAAATGTTTATAGAAATTCCAGTGCAAAATTATGATAGAGTAGGAAAAAGAGAACCAAATCTCGTCCAAGGACAAAAAGAAGAAAAAACAAAGCAAAATAGAAAATGAGGACAAAGAAAATGTCTAACCTAGTGATACAGAAAATGAAGGAATAAAAGAGAAAAAAGAGAGAATACAGAAAGAAGTATTAGAAAGAGTTAATATATAATTAAGGATGGGAAAAAAAGAAGGATAGTTAAAAATTAAAACAAAATAAGGTAGTTTTGATATAGGCTAGTAGCAGCCTCTTATAGACCAGAGGCTTAGAGTCTGTACCTGCAGACTAAAGTCTCTGCGAGAAAAATTGTTGCTGCAGCAGATTGCACTTGAGTACCTCAAAGTAGCTGAGTAAGTCCAGAATAGTTGAAGAAGAGTATTTTATTATATTTTATTTTAGATAGTAATTTACTTTGTAGCATATATAAGCTTTTCATTAATAAAATAATAGACAAGATTACCAAAAAAAAAAAAATAAAAAATAACTTATGTAGGATTACATTTATATAATTTGCTAATGACTATTTCTTCCTTTATTTTTTTTTTACTTAAAGATTTTTGTACTTATTCTTAATAAAAATTTTGAGTTAATTTGATTTTTCTTTCTGCTTCAAAATTGGTTAAAGTGATCAATAGAGAGAGATATGTTTGTCAGATACATATTTTAAATTCACTAATAATTTAAAAAATAAATATTATAGGTCTGGTGATCTTAGTGTAGTAGTTAGATTGTCAGACTGTCATATAAGAGGTCTGGGGTTCAAATCTCACTATCGACAAGTTTGAATAATTACTCAGACCTTTGTATCCAACTTATAGTAAACCCTGTTCGTTTCTGGAGTTGTAATCCTGTAAATCATGTTGCACTAATATCAATCGGATATTGAAAGTATAATGCAATATTCGAGTTACATTGTATAAATAAATCTTGATAGGATCTATAAGTAGGAGACCTGCATAGTAGAAATCCTGAATTAGATAAAGTAGTACAGATTTTGACAGTCAATTCAGTTAACGCTTGATCTAGTGAAAAATCTGAGTACGGATGATATGAGATCAATAGATGCGAGTAAGTTCACTGTGTAATGCAGTCTGGTGCCTTGCATTAGCGGTAACACCAATTTGGCTTGGTAACTAACTAGATTGGAAGAATCTACCTCATGAAATATCAGAAATCTCAGAGGACTATATCTGGTGGAGAGTCACAAAAGAAACTGGGTTTGAACGAATATCTATAAAAGTATATGCTAGCTTAATTGGAATATAGCATAGCATAGTTGAAGTATTCCGCAGACCCCTTCTGATAAGGATAAAAAGGTATTTTAAGATAAGGTCTTCCTAATAAGGGAATTTGAAGCACAAAGTCAGTCTGAGTGGTCCTCTATGAGGCAGCACAAGATTGTGCAGGTTTAAAAACAAATTAGATTAAACGTTAAGGATGACGAAAATGCCAGAGAGTTTAAAATAGAGTATCCACAAGAAAATACTAGATATGGCAATTGGTAGGTAACCTTCGGGTGGAACCTTTAAATAGACAATGATTAAAAATTGTACATATGACTAATTGTATTCTCACTAACTAATGTAAACCTACAAACAACTTAATAAAAATTAACTGGTATCGAGGCCTTGTTGTAAATAAAAAATAAATATTATAAAGCTTATACTTATAGACTAATAATTTGACAAAACTATTTGTTAAAATATTTGTCAGATATATATTTCAAGATCACTAACAATTTAAAAAATAATACAATAAAGCATATACTTATTCTCTAATAATTTGAAAAGATATTTGTTAAAATATTTGTAGATGCATAATTTAAGATTATTAATTATTTTAAAAAATAAATATAATAAAACTTATACTTACTAACTAATAATTTAATAGAAGTATTTGTTAAAATATTTTTCAGTTACATATCTTTTTTTTTTTTTTTTTTTTTTTTTTTTTTTACTTTATACAAATACTATTAGCTAAACTTTTATTAATTTTATAGATTTTGGAAATAATACATATTATGAGAGTATAACTAGTTATATAAACAATTTTAGATTGTCTATTTTAAGTAGTCCACCTGAAGGTTCTATACTAGCTACTATATTTAAAATCTCTTAGAAGATTCCCTATTTAAACTTTCTGGTTCTATCTTACTTACTGCAAATATTACTCTTTATAGTTAACTATAACTCTGTGCTACTCCACTTTGGAAGGTATCCAAGCTAACATTAGTCGCAAATTTTATTGTTATATGCTTAGATCTTACCCGAATAAGTCCTACTTCAATACCTTCTAACAAATAGGTATTATGATACCCAACTATTCTATGCTATATCTCAATCTAGCTTGCATATATCCTTATTCGATGTTTGTATAAACCCAGTTCTAGTTGTAGCCTTCTACTAGTTTAGACTTCTGAATATTTTATGAATAGATTCTTCCAATCTAGTTAGCTGCTAAGCCAAGTTGGTGTTGATATTAAATGCAAGGTATCAGGCTACATTATACTGCGAACTTACTCACACCTATTCAATTCGTATTCAGAAAATTCTTGTCAAATCAAGCATTAACTAGCATAACTGTCGAAATCTGTACTACTTAATCTAACTCAAGATTTCTACTATACAGGTCTTCTGTCTATAGATCTTATCTTGATTTATTTATATAACACAACTCCAATATTCTGTTATACTTCTAATATCTAAACAATATTAGTACAATATGATTTATAGGGTTATAACTCAGAAATGAACAGAGCTTACTATAAGTTGAATACAGATGTCTAGGTAATTATTCAATTCTGTTGACAGTATGATTTGAACTCTAGACCTCTTGTATAGCAGTTTGACAACCTATCTACTATACTAGATCACCAGACTTTTCAGTTACATATTTTAAAATTACTAATTATATTTTAAAAATATATATAATTAAACCTATATTTACAGACTAATAATTTAACAGAAGTATTTGTTAAATATTATTAGATGAATATTTTAAAATTACAAATAATTTAAAAAAATAAATATAAAAAACTTATACTTACAAGCTAATAATTTAACAGAAATATTTGTTAGAATATTTGTCAGATGTATTTTTTAAAAATAAATATAATAATGCTTATATTTACACTCTAATAATTTAACAGAAGTATTTATTAAAATATTTGTCAAATATATATAAGATCATTAATAATTTATATAATAGTGCTTATACTTATTCTCTAATAATTTGATAAAAGTATTTGTTAAAATATTTATTAGATGCAAATTTCAAGATCACTAATAATTTTTTTTTTTTTTTAAATGTTAAGGTGAGGTTTTGCCTTTATCTTTATTAAAATTTGTATGAAATTCTGCAAGAGGTTTTTCAAAGTTATAAATTTATAACTAGAATTAAGACTCAGACTATAAATAGTAAACTATCTAATTTATTTGCAACCTAAACCTACTAGAGTGGTTAAAAACTCACCTAGATTTGGATATTAATAATTGTGTTAGATGAGTAGCTATATTTAGCTCACAAAGTTGACCAAATATCTATTTTATATTGTGCTAATCTTAGTAGAGGACATAAACTATTGTTATTATATAATTGATCAGGTTGCCTAACTACCCCAGCGTACCCAGTAAAAAAATGCGGACACATGACTGATCGACAAAAATTGACCAATAAATTTGTTTATTATTACCGTTACTGTAATGCTAAAATACCTTGTTCGCTACAAATACAAACACCCTTACGCATTTTTAATCATAATAGATAAATAAAAAGATCATAATTAAAATGCTTAACTATATAGATTCGCCATTATACTTTAATTGCAACAAAACTTTCCCGAACTTCAAGTAAAATTGCAGGCCAATACTATACATCTTTAAAGTTTGCCTAACAATCAATGTGTCATCCTATTCAGATTTTTAGTTGACCCAATATTGATAAATATACATATTTATATTAAAATGCCAATTTTTTATAGCTATATAATCTTAAACCATTCATATTTATATATGCGATAATGTTTTTTTATAAATGGAAGCCTAATCATTATGTATATTGGTTCAGTAAATATACGCATATACAATATATTTATTATAATGCAATTTTTTAGTGCTAATATCGCTAATATCTAAAAAAAAAACATTTAAATGTAAAAAAAATATTTAAATGTAAAAAAAAAAATTATATTCATTGTTATCAAATTGCATTAGATTAAAATATGGTTAAATTCTTAAAGACATTCCTTTACGCATGACAATATAACTAGTGGATTACTATCTTTAAGGTTACGCATTATCCAGGAAGAGTTATCTAAAAATTTTTAATCATGATATTTAATAGTAACGGTAAGTAGTAGTACCAAAAAAATAATATATACTTTACCTAACAATTAATGCCACCATTACTATATCAAAAAAATTTCTTTTGTTAGTTAGAGTTAGAGAAATGTATATATTTTATGTAACGTTGCATACCTTAACTAATTTAAAAAACGAGTGTTGTGTGTATGCTCTTTCCAAGTCTTCGGCATAGTTATTCTTCTACGATAAGCTTCGATTTGTTCTACCATTGTATTAACTGATAGAAAGTTTTTTTCTATGCTTTTACCCCATTTAATATTTTTGGTATCTTTATGTTCATATAATAGATCAAGTGCTTTTTTTGTCGTATTGATTAATCGATTGAAAAAAGCATCTGAATCTTCTTCAACCTGATCATTATTTATATTATTGTTATTCATCGAAAAACTTACTGCATGCACTAAACTAATGGCTTGAGCTTTAGTTGTTTCAATTTGATTAATTTGATTATGATTATCTTCAATCTGATTATTAATCTGATTATTATTATCCATATTAATCATCGAAGAACTTATATCTTGCATTATAACTAAAAATGGATATTGATTACTTCGTTTAACTTGGTCAAAAAATTGTGAAGATACGGTTCCCTTTTTTTGGACAAGATGTTTGCAGATAAAGAACCGGTTTGTGAGGTAATATGGACAACTGCAGATCCACCTTTCTATATCAGTAATATAAAGTTTATCACTATCTTCTTTAATGACCTTTTTTGTCAATCGTTTCCATTCTGACTTCATTGCTTTTCGCCAATCTGCATTTACTCGTCCAAGCATAATCTGATCAAATTTCCGCCTTTGATGTAATATTACTTTTTTCATAAGAATATAAATAACTAGATCAAGTCTTGGGCGGAAAAATTTATAAAGAAAATCTCGTTTAATTGTTTTCCAGTGCGATTCTATAAACATCGTTGTTTTTAGTACTGAAATCTTATTTTCATAACCTGCTCTCATCCATAATGCCCATCGGTCTGCGCAGTACCATTCTTTCCACAAGTAAATCCAAAGAAAAGGTAACGAATTATTTTTGCAAAAAAAATAAATTTCTTTCACTGCTTGTTCCCAAATTTGCGAACATGTTAGTACCAGATTAGAAGATATTGGTATTAAGGGATGAAGATGTAAATGTTTATCCATTAATTCCCAGACTGATGTGCGTAATTCTTCAGGACAAAAAATAGTGCCTTTTTGAGCTGGAAGTTGCAGAACAAAAGTTTTGTCAATAAAAGAAAAATACTCATTACCATTACTATGCTTGTAAGTAATTTTTTGTGGAAATTTATTGGATATTAATCGTGCATCAATTGCCTTTTTCACGTGCCAACGGCACAATTGAATTTTAGTATTCGGCCAGGTAAAACGTATTCCAGAAATTTGTGCGAAATCTTTGTCTGTTAATACGAACTCTGGTGTTACACCTTGTAACTTTATTTCATTGAGAAAAATTAAAATTATTTCAGTTCGTATTCCATTTCCCGATTTGCTATTGCTTTCTACAAATAGATATGCGATCGGATATCCTGAACCATTAACTTCTGCATGTAGTACATATAATTCAAACCCTAAATTATTTGTATTATCTGTATAAATACAGTAAAAAAAAAAATACACAGTATATTAATATATATACATATTAAATATATATAGTATAAATTAAATAAATAATAAAATATATTAGAAATACATGTCGCATCAATCCCGCATTCACATATATTAATATTTAATCGTTTAAAATCATCAAGAAGTCCTGTTAAAAATCCAATTGCTCGAACTGGTGTTGTTGTATTTACAATAACCTTATAACATTCTTCTTCAATCCACATTAAAGCAGATTTAAAAGCATCATTATGCCTTATATATCTATTACTTCCAAAAGTTGCCCACCAATAATGGATTTGCTTCTGTACAATCGATGTATCCATACCCTTATCAATTAATCGTGCATAAATCTCTCGTGGTAATAAATCGATATTATTTTTAATATATTGTTTAACATCTTCTGGTACTGCTACGTTATTTGGCTTTGAATGCAAAATATTATGCTCAACTGTAATACGAGCAATCTGAAGTGTTAAGTTAATATTTACTTTAATACAACCATTGCAATCAAATCGTTCCATTGTTTTAGTATCTCTTTGTTTTTCTGGATCATTATGTTTACGAGGTTTTTTTGCCATATTCACTCTTTGAGAACAAAAATACCAAATACTTGTAGCTTGTTTGCCGTCATATTTGTTATTATATCTACAATAGTAATAAAATAATATTACTAAAAAATATATATATATTTTATTTAAAATAACAAAAATCATTGTATAATTATATATACATCCAAGAGTATTCATCAGTATCGCTAACAATATTTATTAAATTATCAGCAATTTCTTTTGAAGATTCATTATAAGATGAAATATCAACAGTACATGAATAATGAATGCCTAGTTGATTATTTTCTTTATTGTTTTCAGCAATTATTGAATTTGTATGTAATTCAAGAAGATCGTAAATATAATCTGCAAGATTATTTGGCTCTAATATTTCATTCGGTACTTCATTATCATCTTTCAATAGTTTCTTATTTTCTCTGTATCTTTTTGTTTGAGCTTTACACATATTACAGATATGAGAATTTGAATTGGCAAACTCCAGTTTACCTTTATAGATTTTACATCTGGTACAGAAATTTTGATCAATAGTACCATTCATTATGTCTTTAAATAAGTAATATAAGTTAATTAATATTGATATTTATTAAAAATCACCTAAAAATTAGTTCTTTACTTACTTTTTTTTTTATCACCGTTCTTTCTCTTATATCTAACCTTTTCTATTATTAACTTCCTTCTTTTATGCACAATACTTTATACAGAAACTCTATGTATGATACTTCGCAACTCTACATGCAGTACTTTACACAGAAACTCTCCTCAACTTTCTTTATGCACAACACTTTATACGGCAATACAACAATATTATGAGATATGTATATGTTTGCTCAAGAAAAATTCAATAAAATGAAGTAAGAAAAATTCGGTTATCCACTCTATTTATTGATACACTATATTACATCATTATCTGCAAAAATAGACTCAAAATTACTAAATTTACAATGACATATTTTGTAGTACGTACATAGGTTTCATATATAAATTAGTACTTTAATTTTATTGGTCAATTTTTGTCGATCAGTCACGTGTCCGCATTTTTTTACTGGGTACGCTGGGGTAGTTCTCATGCCCATCCAATATCACATGACTACTAGCCAATTATAGCTTAGTAGGTATTAATTCTAATTACCGTAATCAAGTTATATATATACTGTATATAATAGTTGCTTTTGAATAAATTGTTTATTATAAAATAAATTATAGTATAAACTATATTTTATATTCTATATTAATCTAAGAAAAAGTTAAATAATTTGGAAATTAATAAAAAGAATTAGGCTATCTGATTAGTTCTACACTATGTTGCTATATCTGTAGCCTGTTTGTAAGTTATCTATTTAAATACTCTGTTCATTAACCTATATGAATCTAGCTTAATGTCATTACAATATCTAACTACTTAAGTTAGCTAGCTTATTTTTTTTTTTTTTTCTTTGATAGTTATATCATAAACTTTATTAAGTTGATAACTATAGCCATAGCCAAGTTACATATGATTATTAATTTATCTAATTTCTTAAGTTTGATATCATTTAGCTGCTACTAGAGTGCTCAGGTATGATCTGTCACACTAACCTTAAGATTAGAACAAATTGTCTAACTAATTCAAAGAAAACTCTACTACTTCCTTTCTCTTTTTTTTAATCAATTCTGATACTACTTCATTTATTACTTCATTTATTACTTCATTTATTTAAATTTTTTTCCTTTTTCTTTCTTTTTTCCTTTTTAACAAAAGTTTTTTCTTTTTCTCATCTGTTTGGGTCTTTACTACTTGTTTTTTCCTTGTTGAATTACTTCTTTTTTCTTTAATTATAATTTTTCTTTCTTTTTTCTACTTGTTTACTTTTTCATTTCAGTAACTCTATATAATTTCTATAAAGCTTTTTTGCATAATAAAATGAGTACTATTCATCCATTCTTTTATTTCTTCTTTCTTTGTTATTAATATTTGTAGCCTTTCTACTATTTCTTTTTCTTCAAAACCTACTATTAGATCTCTTCTTCATTTGTAATAGTCTTCTTTTCTTTGTAAAAAGAGAATTTCTTCTATTTCTTTTTGTCGTAAAAAGAGATATTTTTTATCCTATACTTTTTTGATACTCTTAACTACTGTTTTTTCAACTTCTTTCTACAACTTTTATAAGACTAAGTAGCTTATTATATAGTCAAACTGAATAGTTCTCCTAACAAAGTATACAGAAACTATTTTTGTATAATTCTGGTTTTTGCTTTCTTAATTCATTTAGAATTAGAAGAGCATTATTTAAATACTTGACTTGTATCATCAGATTTTTGCTATTATTTATTGAAAAGCAGTTTATTTCCTTCTGTTCTTTTACTCTTTTCTATAGCTTCTTCTAATTATATTTATTGCCTTTTGTCAAGTTGTCTTTTCTTACATATATCTATTTAGCATTATTATACTTTTTTGATAAATTCGTTACAAATGATTTAATTGAATTTTTAATTTTATTTAACCTCATAGTCAATATTATTATTTTTAACTACTCTTAGATCCAGTTGTACTAGAGACCTTCTTCTTTCTTTTGCTAATCAGTCAGCTTCTATATTTCCTTAGTCTCTTGTATAACTTTTAACTTTTTGTAGCTCTAAGTTAATACCTTTTTGATTTAATAGTATTACAACTTTCTTAAGGATTATTCTATTATCTGATCTAATCTATTTGTTATAATGCTCAATATTATATATCTTAGATATCTGCTCTATTGTCTACTCACTATCTGTAAAAACCCTAACTATTATGTTGTATTGCAATATTAGAAGTACTATTCAAATCCCTATAAGTTTAGCTTTAATTGATATTGGCTAGTTAACAACTTTAAAATTTCCTATACTAACTACTCTATTTTCAATACTAACTATTCCTACCGTATGAGCACATTTTTGGAATAACTGTTTATTTTGACGCACCCTAAAATTTCGGTAACACAACATGCGAGGAGCGTCAGCTGGTTGACAACCAATAAAATTATATAAAACACGAGGTGAGTCAACTAATTGACAACCAATAAGATAAATTTAGATAATTTAGATAGCGATAGACAATTAGACAATTAATTTCAGGAGACTGTTCAGAAACTAGACCCATAATCTCATCCCGACTGACTAATTTATGTGATTAATGATCAAATATACCAACGAATCTAGATTTATATACAGTATGTACCCGGTATGTACCTGGTATGTAATTAAAACAGTCGTAGTGTTTGCTTTATATTAATTAACGTTAAACTGATATTAAACTTCTAGGGCTGGACTAGTATTAGTTTAGGACCAGACTGGACGAATATTTAACATCTCTAAAGTTACGGCTCCACTAAAATGTGCATACATCATGTATTGTTAGCTAGCTGTGAAAATATTACCGCTGTATAATTTTTAGTTAGCATACTAGCAAAAAATTTCTTGAAGTAATAAAGAGAATTACATGACCTAGTAATCAGAACGACCAAATACCTATTTTATTATGCTCCTTCTTGATATGATTCATATTTAACATAAAAAGCTTTGATACAATAATACTATACGAATGCCACTAAGCGAAACTATTACCTGAGTATTGAATATGTTATTCGAATAACGTGGTTAGGGTGACAAGTTTAGAATCGGATTCACAAAAAAAAAAAAAGGAACTTATAATAAAAGATAATTTTAAATGTATCAATATAAGTTATTAATAATTAAAAAAAAATCATAATATGTAGAAAAATTAGCGAATATGCTAATACTCAATAAAAAGTGTGCAGGTGCAGTTTAATTCGAAGTGATTCTTGGATATTACATCGCATAAAGAGATACGATGAATGTAATTGTCGCCTTTTGGTAAATGCATTGTAAAGGAACATGTTCATCTTTTTTAATCCCAACTCTATTCTTGTAGCAACGACCAACTTAATATGTTCTTTGCCGGATCTTATCTCAGCGGATTTTTGAAAACGAATAAATGCCTTATGCTCATCTTTTTTAACTCTGAACCCATAACGAACAACTATATTCGTTCTAAAAGTATAACACATCTCTACAGATTTTTGAAAATGAATAATTGGTTTATTTTCATCTTTTTCAACCATAAATATATCTTGATGACAGGCACCAGCTTGGAATGTTCTATTGAAATTTCTCATCTCAGCAGATGTTTGATAAGAAATAAATAGCTTGTGCACATCCTTTTTAGCTTCTAATAGACAATTTTGTGTGAGATAATGAAAAATAAATTAATTTTCAAAATATAATAAATAATAGTATAATACCATTAGCCGTTCTTCTCATTCTCCCGATACTTCTGGTCCAAGTCAAATAAATGTACGTACTAATTAAATGCGCTTTAGAATATGACAGTGCCTGAACCGATGAATCTTCTATATCTACACCCTTGTAAAGTAACATGTTAAATTAATGCACTTAAATTCAAATAAGCGAGTACACATCTGATAGATAGGTTATGAAAAATTACCGTAAATACTTTCGATGTATAAGCTGATTTTCTTAGTAAAAATTACACAGTTTTGTTACACAAGTAGAATACCGTAATCTACCGCCTTTAGTACCAGATCTTTTTTTTTAAAAAAAAAGGTCATAAATATAAACCTCTATATCTAGCCGAGAGTGGGTATATAAACTAGAGCATTATGAAAAAATATCCGAGTATAAAATATCTAACTTGGGTCTTAATTTTTATAAGGTTTTTTCTTGTATATAGCATAATATATGAAGGGAGGTATTATTAAGAGGACTAGTACTAAAGATTAGATTGGAAACTCTATTTAAATCTGCTAAACCCACCAAAATCTTGTATTAACAACTCTAAACATAAATCCTAACCTAACTCAAAAAAAAAAAGTACCTAAAAAATTTTAAAATTTTATTTAAATAAGGTCAATTCTCAGCTTCAGCTGCTGCATTAATTAATAAAACACTTACATGTTGATAGTTTGTTATAATTTTTATTCATATACATGCAAAAAAAACCAATTTAATTATTCACCACCCAATCGTAACATATTATAAATAAGGAGCTGACATAAGAATTGATAATAGCGAGCTTTCTCCTGTTGGTGTTGTTTAATCAAAATAATTAATTAATATATAGTGATAACTTAAAATGAAATAAATTTTTAAAAAGTCAGACTCACATACATAACCAGCTATGAAAAATAAAACAAATAGACTGACAACATAAGCAATAATGATATTTATAATACAAATGACTCTTAACATAAGAAAGCCACCGGGTCCAGACAAAATCTTTCCTATATCAAGATTTTCTTATTCAAAAGCCTTTTGTTATAAAATTTTCACTTAGGACCTGTAAAATCTTTCTTATATCAAGAGTCACTTGTATTAGTTTTGATATAGACCGTTTCGATCCGTAATCCGAGATCTGGATTGGTCTTTAAATCTAGATAAATTCAGATATCCAAATCAGAGATGTTTGCTCGGATTGGTCAAAGAACTTAAATAATGGACCTAAGTATGTGCCCAAAAGTTAGCTTTAATATATAATCTGAGACGGATTTAATCCGGATGGTCTGTCAGAAATAGGATCGAAACACTAACCGTATACGTATATTCTGATAACATAGAATTTTTGTTAGAAGAATAGATAATTACTACTTATATGGATTAAAATATTTTGAATAATAAAAAACCCTTTTTAAAGAACATATTTAGTTTCTTGATAAATGTAAGAAATGTTACGTACCATTTTTTCTGATTCATGGTTGATTGATAATATAAAGTTAACCGTTAATCAATTTTATATCAATTTTATTAGTAGTGTTACACAATTTTACCCGATTGTTTTACGTATAATCAAATATTTGAAAATTTTATATAAGGCCATACAAATTTAATTACTTGGTTTTCATAACATGAAATTTTAAATCAGACCCGGCCGGCCGGCTTTTTTTTATGTAAAAATTTTTAAAATACTATAAAATTTTTTTACAAAAACCCACCCGGTTATTAAAACATATAAAAAATTTTTTTTGAAAGTTTTCAAACTTTGACCCGGCCGGGTTATGAAAACCAATTTATTAATTTTATATGGCCTAACCGGATGTTTTATTTTTATTTTTTTACTTTTGTAAAAAAAAGATTTTAGGCTGCTGCCTAAATAAGTCAATGTTATTAAAACTATGACTTTATGATTATATTGTTCATAGTTCAAACTAACAGAATAAAGGAAATGATAATGGCAAAGGAAATGAATGATAATGGCAAAGGAAATGATAATGGCAAAGGAAATGATAAGGATAAGGGCAAAGAAAATGATGAGGGCAAAGGAAATGAGAAGGGCAAAGGAAATAATAGTGTAAAAGTGAGTTTTTAGAATTAACTGTTACAAATAACGAATCGTGCCAAAAATGTGTAACAAACAAAAAAATTTTTTTCTAATAAATATCACAAGTTTTTAATTAGAGAACATTAAAAATGTTAAATAGCGTTACAAGAAAAAAACTTGAGGGGACAGTAAATCATAATTATCCACATAATAACTTAGTTCTTTGGAAAAGCAAAAATGGAAACTATAACTACACAATTATAAGTTTAGGTGCACTCCCGAAATCAAATCTTAAATATACACAACGGCCAGGATTATATCCTATTCCTAACAATTATAAAATAGAAGCTTTTTGGGGACGTATTGAAAAAAATCATGTTCAAACATCTATTAATTATGTTGAAAATATCCCGCATTTTAAAATTGAGTGGATACACAATGAACAAGAATATGTAGTAGTTTCACAAATTTCCCCTTCAGATGCATCCATTAAATACTGTAATGTAAGTTTTGTAATTGTTTTTATGATACGTATATTAATTTAATAATTTATTTTTATTTTATTTTTATTAAGATACAATATCCAGGAAAAAAGACAGCATTTTCTGGAGTACTTATTTTTGGATTACAATTATATGAGGAATTAACTAATGCTATGCCAAAAAGAAGTCAACCACGGTGTATTAAGCCTCTTAGCGATCTTAATAATTCTTCACATAGAAATAAAATTAAAAGGGTAGCAGAAAATTTATTCAATAATTTTGATACAAAAAAAAATAAAATTTGGCATCCTGCAGATAATCCTAAACTTAAAGAAATCGTATTAGAAGCAGGTGAACAACCATGGTTAGTAAAGTTTGATGAAGATCGACAGTTAGAAAAAAAAAAGGCACAAAAAATTGTTCAAACAATGGACCAATCTAATATTTCACGAAGAGGATATAGAGCCTTAACGGCTACTTCACAAGATTTGCCAAAAGAATGGCTAGTCAGTAAAGAAAAACATAATGTCGATGAAATAATGCAAAATCATATTCCATTGTTAGTATTTGATACAAAAACACCAACACCAGATAGTGATAGTGACTCTGATAACGACAGTGACTCTGATAACGAGAATAAAGAAATTTCAACTATGTTAGAAAAAGGTGTCTATCGTAAAATATCTGCAATCCTCCGATTCATTATACCAAAACTTGTCACAAATCATGTTCTTAATTATGAAGCTCCTACAATATATTTGCGAATTTCAGGTAGGGATACTGTAGTAAAAAAATGTCTTAAACTATTTTTTTACCTGTTTAAAACAAGTGAGGATTAAAGTCCAAATACAGTAATTAAATCTGGATTTATAGTAAATATACCCAGATCACAATAATTACCTATCTTTAATTATGTAATTACTTTTGTTATCCCTAATCTCAGGTGATGGAAGAAATGTCGGAAGAAGGATAAAACATGTGATGGTGACACTAGCGATCCTTAATGATCAAAAAAATCTTATGAAACCAGAAAATCACTATACGATCTCTTTATTTTCTGGAACAGAAAATTATACTTCACTTGAAATTGCTTTAAGACCAATCCGTAATGAATTGCAAGAATTGTGTAAAAATGGGTTGATTGATAATAATTATCAGCGATGGAATGTCGAAATATTTTTTTCATCAGACTGGAAGTTCCTGGCAATAGTATTAGGATTCAATGCTCCGAATGCGCATAACTTCTGCCCGTGGTGCCCCTGTACGAAGGATTTAATAGGCGATTTAAATCAAAATTGGACAATAACAAAGAAAATAGATCAAATTAAAACAAATTATCAAAACTTCCCAGGTATTTAGCTATCAGCGCTAGAGTTAATACTTCAATCCGGATTTATATATCCGGATATATTACTATGTCATATGATATGATATAACATAGTAAAATTCAGATATAATAAATCCGGATAAATAAATCCGAATTTTATATAGTAAAACCGGATTGAAGTATTAACTCTAATCAGCGCCATTAGAGACTGGACTCATGAACTTGTGACTTGAGTAAATCACGGTTCGAATCATTAATTCGAAACTCGCGAGTTACTAGTGAGTTAAATTACCAGTGTAACAATTCCGTATCATATACATTAGAAATTTGTAATAATTATGCAATTTATGAATTTACATGAAATTTTGTATTAACGTGACTCAAATAACTTGAATTTCGATTTAAAAAAGTAACTCGAACATATGATTCGAGTTTATTCGAGACTCGTCAGAATTTAACTCGCGAGTCACAAGTTTTCACGAGTCCAGTCTCTAAGCTCCATAATCATCGATGTTTTAAAATATTTGAGTACTACAGAGGGAAACCTAGAAGTGAATATTTAAGTTATTACAATAGCGGACTTATCATATTAGAATATAATACAATAAGTCTGCTGTAGTGATAACTTAAATATTCACTTTCGGGTTTTCCTCTGCAACACTCATTTTATTAAAAAAGCATAAAAATTATTTAACTCTGTTTTTTATTATCCCTATTTTCAGGTCATATTCATTCGCCTATATTAGATATTATTCCAATAACTCATTATGTAGTAGATCAACTACATTTGATGTTGCGTATAACTGATCGCCTGTGGGAGTTAGCTTTAAATGAATGCAAAAATAATGGTCACTTTATAGATGAAATGCGAAAGTTAATCTGCGAAGAAATGAGTAATATTGGGGTAAAATTCACCTTTTGGCAAGATCAAGAAACCAAGTCGTGGAAGTTTACTTCTTTAATGGGCCCGGACAAGTTAAAAGTAGTAGAAAAATTTAATCTAAATATAATGTTACCACCAGTACGTGCTACAAAGGTTCAAAAACTTTGGTCAGGATTTTTTGAACTTTATGAAATGCTAAGTCAGAACAGATTATCAGGGGATATATTCTGCAATAAAGCTCGTGAATGGTTAGACCTGTTCTTAATGCCCTCAAAAGTTATTCCTGGCATTAATAAAATAGATAAGGGACTATACACACCAAGTGATATAACTCCTTATATACATGTTCTAATCTATCATATTCCAGAATTTCTAGATATCCATTCAAGATGGGGACTTGGCGCATTTTCCTGTCAGCCAGTTGAAAAAAAAAACCACCAGCACGTGTCAACTTTTTTTACAAAAACCTTGAAAGATGGCGGTAAAAACCACTTGCAAAAATCTGCTATAATGGAGATAATGGAAATGGAAAATAGAGCATTATATTTTTGGCGATTTAATGAAACAGTAGCATTACCGAAATGTAAAAAGATTAATATCGTTAGTTCTAATGAAATGAATTGAATGATATTATCATAAACTACAATATTCTTTAATATAATAGAATCTTTTTGTTATACCTAGATAAATAGATAAATAATAGCCAGGGTTTTGAAAAACCTGTAATATTGCCGTCGAGGAACAATTTATTATATGATGGAAAAGATGAAGAGGTTCTTGAAGATTTAAATAAATCTAATCCAAATGATGTAGCTGCATTAAATAATCGGGGTGAAATTTATCGTATGATGAGACAACATGACAAAGCTCTTGTTGATTTTATTAAATCATTAGACATTGATCCATAATTTCTATAGTTGGTTTTTTATATTCAGAGTAGAAATTTGAGCTATACATCAGGTTTAATTAACATTACTTGTTTATTGAACAAATATAACGTATTATATTATATTGTAACTCTATTATCACTCCACATCAAGAATTTACAGGTCATCACATAAAAAATTTTTGAATATATACATATAAGGTACAGCGCATTTTTAATCTGCTTAAATGTAATGTACACGATTACTAAAATGAACCAATATCTCTTATTAGACGAGCGAAACAAAACTAAATAATATTTATGATTCAAATCATCCAAATACGTATAATACTGTATACCTTAGTAATTACTCGAGTAAAATTATTTATCTATAAATACGTAAATAAGTTACAGATTAATGAAATAATATAATACGATTAGAAAAATATATATATTTACCTTCCATACATCACTTTCACCTACTAATACGAATTTTCATTAGTTAGTAACCTTAAAATTTTATATAAATTAAATAATTTCCGAATAGCTGCAAAATCTAAAGCTTCAATCTCGAGTGAATTAAACGTTTTAAAATGAGTCTAATTTTAATTAACAGTCACGAGACATCCCTTAAAGGGATAAGAGTAGAACATTACCTTTTAACAGATTAACATATAGGATCAAAAAAATTGGTATTGATATTCTTGTGATATACAGTGGTTATGAAATATTAAATTTATATTGATATAAAGTCGAACTCTAGATATAACAATGAATTTAGAATTTTTAATTATATATTAGTTTAATATAAAATGCTATAATCTCTTTAAACAACAGTAATTTTTCTAAAACGAAACCCTATAGTGCAGGACATCTAATCAAATTACGAATAATTGATAATGAAAGTACGTATAAAAAAAATCTTTTAATGATTATATTAATAATATATTTATAGGGCAGTGACAGATATACGTAATATCCTTAGGGGGAGAGGGGGTTAGAAAAAATCTTGTAATATATAACTTTATCTGATGCGGGGAGAGGGTGTCAAAAATGGCTCTAACCCTAATTATTTTTTAAAAGTCTTATTATTAAAAAGTTATTTTGATTTAGAAATTCTTTATAATAAATATTTTATATCATAAGTTATTAGAAAATTTATTAATAAAATTTTAAATTTAGCACTCTATTTATTAATAAAATTTTAAATTTAGCACTCTATTTATTAATAAA